CCTAATATATATATATATATGTATATATATATATATATATAAATATATATACATTTTCATATAAACTGGACTGCCAATGATAATAGCACCATTTACTCGTGACTTGAGTCGTTTCTTATGAACCAAAGCGCGTTCATACATTATTAACGTCTTACTGTCATTATTAGCCCTTCATGGGTTCAGTCTTACATGTATTCTGTAGCTTATTGTGAATATAAACCATCAGTTTCGGGCACGGCAAAGCTAAACTGCACCTGCTTTTAGAGCTTTGCATTTCAGCCCGAGTTCGACGTATCCCTGTTCACGGAGACCGAGACGGCAATCCAAGCGCATCCTGTTTGTTTTCTCTATTTTAAAAAAGCACAACGTTTTGTTGATATTGTGAGTGCACACAAAAATAAGGGTAGACCATTTACAGTTCCAAATTAAGTATTAGTCTTATCTGTATGAGCAAAAATGACGGCTTACTTCAAGTTGTTTCCACTGTTATGAAGAACAAAATACAAGTGATCGCGCTGGCGCCTCCATGCATTAAGCGCGCTTCAGCTTCCACTCTCTGCACAAACGCTTCGATATACTCCTAACAGCGCACTTTTATCTAGGTTAAATGTTTAAACTAACATTGTAACATGCTTTAAGTGTTTTATATCTATAGATTTTATTTTAAGCAAGTTGTGATGATTTGAGAAGGCTAAATTGATCAAATGTGATCAACTCAGCTGTCTGCCGCTAACCGCTTGGTCGTCACTTAAAAAAAAAAAACTTGAATTTAACAAACAAAGAATGTTCCAAACATTTTTCTAAATTAATAAATAATGCAACAATAAGAAATATAACTTTGCAATTAAAAACAAACTGAACTATTTTAATGGCTGCAACAGCAGCTGTGTAATTTTGAAGCGAGAGAGAAAAAAGACACGGGCTCCAGTTGGACTCGGGCCGAGGATACTGGTAAGCTGTCGGCCAAGGGCTGGCTATAGGGCCTAGGTTTGAGGCCCGTGCAGGGCTCTACCTGATTTCTGCGTTTGGAAATGAATGTTGTGAATCAGGGTTTTTTTTCTAATTAAATGACAAAATTCTTAAGTTGTATTGTTGTATTAAGTTGTAAAAAATGGTTTAATTATTATTTTAAAGCGTTTTAATACATATTTTTTAAGGCATAATTCACACCTCCTTAAATGTAATCTAAACATTCCAAGTTAATATTAATAATTTTTCATGTCACAGTTTTAGGCTATTAATCTTGATTTCTCACAACTTATTTTGTTCTAGGTTTTTATTTATTTATTTATTTTTATGTTGTGAGTCAGAGTAAATTGCGATGCGAATAGAGTCTCATGAATGTGCAGCCTTGTACAGAGGACCAATGGCCAAGGTCAGGATTTTTCGTTCAAAAACTTTAGCCTGTAGATTGAAATGAAAACCCCTTAATACAACATAAGGAAATGGTGTAATTATAATGATTTTAATAGTGGCTGTTTAATAACCATAACATGCAGTAAGAGCCTTTGTGTAAATTTAATTCTTTCTTTTTTTTATGCATTAGGCTGCAGCCTACGGCGTTTTGAATTTAACCCTCACTGTAAATTTTCTAATGATTTTTAAGGATGTTATAATGTTATATTATAATGTTATTGTTGTTTTATTTCGTTATTTGATCTCCGTTTACAAAACAAAATATCATAATTTCAG